GGCCCTTTTGATTTTCTGACTCCAGCTCTCTGCACATTTCATTATAGTATCTTGTTTTATTGTCCTGGTCTGCCTTTTGAAATTTTCTGTTCAGCTCTTTGATTTCTTGGTTTCTTCCTTTAGCTTTGGCTTCTCGGTGCTCTAATGCAATACTCAGAGTCTCATCTGATGACCAAGTAGTCATATATTTTCTATTTCTGTGAATTTGCCTCATCTGGATGTTTTCTATAAATTGAGTTATATTTATGTGGCCTTTTGTGATTGACTTCTTTTACTTAGCATAATGTTTTTAAAACCTATCCATCTTTATAGCACATATCAATATTTTATTATTGTTGTTCGTGAATAACATTTTGTTCTCTGAATAGACCACATTTTGTCTATATATCTATTGGCTGATGGACATATGAATTGTTTCTACTTTGTGGCTATTATGTATAATGTTACTATGGGAAGTCCTGCATAAGTTTTTATGAGGACATGTCTTTTCATCTCTTTAGGGTATGTGCTTAAGAGTGGACTTGCTAGATTAATAAGAATAAAAGAGGAAACACTGATGCCTCTGAGCTGTGGTGCTGGAGAAGTGTATTGAACATACCATGGACTGCAAAGGGAACAAACAGATATGTCCTAGAGAGGGCCAAACCAGGTTGCTCCCTGGAGGCAAGGATTTTGAAACTCCATCTCATATACTTTTGGTCATGTTGCCAGGAGGGACCAGTCCAAGGACATCATGCTTGGAAGCATGAAGGGACAGTACAAGAGAGAAAAACCCTGAATGAAATGGATTGACATAGTGACTGTGGTAATGGGGTCAGATGTGTCAGAGACAGTCTGGCTCAGGATAGGAAAAGGTTCAGAGCCATTGTTCATAGAGTCGCTAGAAATTTTAGCTGACTCAGCACATAACAACAACAATGAGAATTCTATGTTTGACTTTTTGAGGAGATATCAGACTTTCCAAGGAGATTGTACCATTTTGTTTCAACTTCTCTACATATTTGACAGCACTTGTCACTTTCTTCTTTACTCTAGTCATCACAGCAGAAATGAAGTGGTTTATGCTTGGGGTTTGAGAATCATCTTCCTAATAACTAAAGATGGTGATCATTTTCATGTACTTAATGGACAATATATATGTCTTTGGAAAAATTAAAGTAAATTCAAGTCCTTTGTGTTTTAATTGAGTTATCTCTGTACTGTTAAGTTTTAAGAGTTCTTTATACACTCTGGATACAAGCCCATGTTACATACATTATTTGGAAACATTTTCTTTCATTCCATAGTTTGTGTTTTCACTGTCTTGGTAGAGTTCTTCAAAGCACATTAAGTTATTAATTTTGATGATATCTCATTTATTTTGTCTTTTGTTGCTCATGTTTTTTATGTCCTATCTAAGAAACCATTGCCTAATTAAAAGTCATGATGGTTTACTCCCATGATTTCTTCTAAGAATATTATACTTTTAGCTTTTACATTTAAGTGTATGATCCATTTTGAGTGAGTGTCTGTACATGGTATAATGTGTCCCTTTTCTTTTAATTCTTAAGAACAATCTCATTTAAAATAGTCCTCATAAAGTTTGACATGTTACAAAAAACTGGTGGGGAGGTTTTTGTTTTATTTGAAATTATTTCTTTTTATACACCTTAACCCACACATACATACACACACACTGACACACTGATTCATTATGGACATAAGAAGCTACATCTAATATGTTGCTGTTGTTAAGTGCCGTCGAGTCACAGTCAACTCATAGCGACCCTATGAAAGAGAGTACAATCTCCTTGGAAAGTCTAATATCTCCTCAAAAAGTTAAACATAGAATTCTCATTGTTGTTGTTATGTGCTAATTGAGTCAGCTAAAACTCCTAGCCACTCTATGAACAACGGCTCTGAACCTTTTCCTATCCTGAGCCAGACTGTCTCTGACACATCTGACCCCATTACCACAGTCA